AAAGAAAGAAAGAAAAATATAAGATAGCTTCTAGTTAAAGACTCACTTTGATGTATGACCTATATGAGTTTGTGGAACAGAATAAGAACAAAGTCACTTTGATCTTCTAGAAATAATTTGCCTGATACCTAGTACTATATTTACTTTCAAAGCCATTTGAATTACAAAGCCTATTTAATTAAAAACACAAAATGACTGAAAAACATAGTTTTCAGGCCTTAAAGGCATTTTCAGCATATGAAGTGTTTTGTTTGGTTTAGTTTGCTTTGGTTTGGTTTGGTTTGGTTTCATTTTCCTTTAGGTTTGCACAAACATTTCTCCATCTTACCACTTCACTTTCTTTGAGGAATGATTTTCCTAAGAGAAAAGAACTATTTGTTTCTTTAAGAAAAACATTGCAGTGTAGAATGTGTGTCAGGAAGCCCTACTCCTTTGTCCTGGGAGAGCCTCTGAGCTGTGCTGTTACCCAGAGTTGTCACAGGCTCTCAAGAGCAGTTCTTTTGGAACAAGAACCTCAGAGACTGTCTTGAATTTCCAAGCTCCCAGCCCTGTGGGGAAGTCAATACGCCACACACTCATGGTTCAGGTGTTTCGGGTGCAATGTGCTGGGTGGTTTTCAGTTGTCATTGAACATTTTGATTATCAGAGAACTAGTTCTGCCAGCACCACATTAAGAGTTTCTCAAGAATTTATTGTTTAAATTATCTCTACTTTGTTTCTATCCTAATTCAACAGCTCTTCTACTGAGAGTGTGAACACTATGATATCTTTTTCCATTACAAAGGAAAAGAAGTGCATGATATCCTTTGGCTAATTCAGAATTGAGCTCAGCCCAGTCCACAGCGATCAAAAGGAACATGATGTCTAATTGATTGGTCCCAACAATAAAAACTTACTGTTTGTTGATATAAGTCAAAGTACCTTTTGGCTTTTTATTTTGTGGCAATTCTGTCTGTTGATACAGGTCAAAGTTGCCTTTGGCTTTTGATTTTGTAGCAATGGGAGTTCACATGTAGGGATGTCATTTAGGAGAAGAGGAAAACAGAGCTACCTTCTGCCATTCCTGGACTTTGGCCAGGACAAAACCAAAGACAGTTCCGATTTCCTGCAAAGGACAAGAATTGAAACTGTTCATTTTCAGGATCCTTGCCCCCCAATCTTGCTATCAGTTTCTGTCTCCTGTTCTTACCAATTTCATGATGGAAACATACAAATGAGTCATCGGAAGGATGCATTCTCAGGGCTGGACTCACTGCTAGCCTCAGGCCTCTGGGGAAACCTCTTTACATTTTTGAATCTCAGCTTTGTCTCCATTAACATTTTAGATACCCTTGATAGATTAAAAGAACAGAAAGCACATCTGAAATGGCTTTAAATAAGTGGTAGTTCAGAAATTATTTGAATAATAATTTGCAACATTTTATTTAGTCGTTCTAAAATCTTACTGTGAGCTTCTAATTTTGTAATAAGTAATTAAATATAGGAATCTTTAGACTTTTGGCTACTGTTATCTCTAAAATTTAGAAACCTTATGGGCAAATCAAATTTAGCTCTCAAAAACTCAACGAATTTAAGTTGTCTAAATTTTGTAAACTTTGCCTTTCCACTAAAATTTTCACAAGCTAAAAACCTCTAATTTTGTTTCTGAAGTTCTGACTTTCTGTTTTGCTCTGTCGTTGAAGGCTTTGTGTTTAGGTAATGACTTTTCATCTCAAGATGTTGATCATTACTGGTTTTTGTCTAGAATATTTGATTTTTGTTGGTCTATTAGCCTGTTTCTTATAATTATGAACTTTCTATAGTTTTGTTTTCTTTATATAGTGTATATTTCTTAATCAGGACTATAGTTCTCAAAGTAGGATATGTTGAATGTTTGTTGCTCCAGAAACCCTTTCTTAGAATTGGCAAGGTCTAAAATATTTTCTTAATGGTAATGAATGCTGTTTATCTATTTTGTTCATTGATACTTATACTGACAGCACAGAAGTAGTGGTAGGCGGGTAATCTTCAGAATAAAGAACATCAGTGTAGTTACTGTCAGGTGCCTACATAAGGGCAAAAAACAAATTTGCTTTAAAATATCTATGGTAGAAGCAGTAAACATTTACGTGTTATTTGAGCTCCCAGTGAAAAAGAGAAATATTCAGTCTTAAATGATAAAAATGTTAGTACTACTGTGTTTTAGAATAACTTCGATGCCTCAAAGAAAAACTCCTGCACAACTGTGTTGAGAGCCTGAGGAGGCACTTTGTACTTTTTTAGTTTTTGAGGAAATGCTACTTCACTTGGACCACTGACCTATGAACTGTGTTTATTCATGCTTAGGTATTCAGCACACATTTTTCAATAATTAATCAAATGTGCCATTTACTTCCAAGAAAACTACAAACTTTTAAGTAAAAAAGAAAAAAATCAGACTTTAGGGAGTTGTAGCCACTACTGTGGGCATGATGACTTCCTGGGACAGACCCACCTTATCTGGTGGGTTCTGTGGTGATATTAATGAATTCAGGTTTTTATTATGGTTGACGAATGATATCATTTGGAAATTATGATGTCATGTTTTTCCAAGTAATCAGTTTATGATGTAAAATCATGGGTGCTTAAGAGATTTTCAAAGTAAAAGGTGGAGCACTAGATTTTTTTCATATTGCTTTTTAAAATTTTTATTGGATTTGTGTGTTTTTCATACAGAGCACCTTAATCATCTTTATGCTCCTTTCCCCACTGGCCCCCTCCCATACCCTTCACTGGAATTTCTGCATTTTGTCATTTATGTTAAGGCCTATCGAATCATGTTGTTGTCCCCAACATCCCTCAGTGCAAGTTCATCCACTGAGGTCTAGTCAGCCTATCTAGTGTCTCTCCTTTTAAAAGCATTATATTTTAATATGACAAAATATAAAAGTTTGTTGACATTTCAGATTTCATGTTGCAACTAATCTAAAGAGTACTTGATAATCAAGTTTTGGTGTGTTATCATAAAAGAATAGTTACAATATTTGAAAAGACTATTACAATAATCTTATCTTGTGTGGTATGCTGGTGAGGTAAGCCTGTAATCCTAGCATTTAGGAAGACAGAGGCTAGGGAATTGCTCCAAATTGGAGGCCACCTTCATCTACATAGCAAATCCCAAGGCTATATATTAGGACTTTACTTCAAAAACACCAAAAAACAAACAAACAAGCATTCTTATCTTTTCTAAAAGCTTGTCTCTGTAAGGACATATTTTCTTAATGTCCTGAAAAATAAGTCAGTATTGAAAGTATTTGTAAATATTTGAAACACATTATTTTCTCTAATTTTGAAATATTGATTGTCATGTAAGAGTATGTTAATATGTGACAGGTTTATTGGTATTGAAATGAAAAATATTTTAACTTTAATTTTTGCATGAAAATTGTAAAGCCTATAGTTTGTCATGACAATTTAGTAAATACCACAAAACCTTTTATTGATCACTCACTCTTTAGAGACTAGGCATTGAATATATACTGTCTGTAATCTCACCACTTACTAACAGAGCACTGTTCTAGTACAATATATTAAAATGGAGTAGTAAGAGGCTTAATAGCTTCCAAAGTCATACAACCAGTAATAAATGATTTCTACTACCTATAATTACCCTAAAAACTTGTTTTTAAATATCCTTCTTATATCCATTTTTCAGAGAATACTGCAATGACCTTAAACTGTCAGATAATAACACTGAATTTCTTTTAAATTTCAACGAATTTATCGATAGAAAAACTCCAAACAACCCATCCTGTAAGTATGTGTGAATACATACCTCAATGCTTATGTCCAAAGTAGTCAATTTTGTTTCATAGGATCAAATCTTACAATAATCTTATAAGTTTATTGGTGGGCTAGTTTATTTGCTGCATTATTTTTAATGGTCATATGTAGCAATGTGGTCCTTAATTTTTTATATTAAGCCAATGTCATTTCATTATTATGAAATCAGATTTTCTAAGTAAGGTAACATACTTGAAATGATTAAATAGATGTTGAGTCATCTATTGAAATTTTTTTCATTAGTTTTACCGGCTACATAGATGAAAACATATGATATACTCTGGGAATGTATTTATGTCCTCTAATTTATATTGGAAGTGGTAGGCTGGTGGTCTTTAAAGAACATCAGCATAGTTACTGTCAGGTGCTGACATGAAGGCAAAAACAAAATTTTCTTTAAAATATATATGATCAAAGCAGTAAAAACTTATCAGTTTCATTTGAGCTCCCATTAAAAAAGAGAAATATTCAGTCTTAAGTGATAAATTGTACAGAAAACAAAGTATAAAGATGGTCTCAACTTTGTCTTAAAAATAAACTTTCATAATTTCACACCCTATGAAGCAAATCAAGAATAGATGCCAGAAGTTCGAATAATCCTCTTTAACTATCATAGATGTTGTTTAAATTAATTGACATCATTTATTCTACAAGACTTTCGCAGCTATACAGATTTGGGGCTTTTTAAAAAAAATATTTTATTTATTATTTTTATTTTATGTGTATGAGTGTATTGCCTGCATGTATGTGGGTGCACCCATGTCATGCAATACCGCAGAGGTCAGAAGAGGGCTTCGGATTCCCCTGGAACTGGAGTTAAAGATGGTTCACAGCCGCCATGTGGGTGCTGGGAATTGAACCCAGGTCCTCTGCAAGATCAGTCAGTGTTCTTAACTGCTGAGCTATCAATCCAGCCCTGATTTTTGGCTTTTAAAGCACTGAAGTGTTTTCTTCCTAAAAATAATGTATAAAAGTGCTAGGAGGTCCCAGCACTTGGGAGGCAGAGGCACAGAGGCAGGTGGATCTTTATGAGTTCAAGGCCAGCCTGGTCTACATAGTGAGTTCCCAGACAGCTGGGGCTACAGAGAGACCCTGTCTCAAAAAGACAAAAAAAAAAGTGCTAGGAGGATCAAATGCAATGGGACAGCTGGGGCTACAGAGAGACCCTGTCTCAAAAAGACAAAAAAAAAGTGCTAGGAGGATCAAATGCAATACATGTGAGAAATAAGGGAGGAAACCAAAGGCATCAAATTTACGCTAATAAATACAATTAGAAAAATAGCACAGATGTAAATTTTTATCTTCCTCCTTTCTTTTCTTTTACTTTTTTTAAAATAAAATATTATTTCTTTATATCAAATGAGAATGAGTACTCTTTTATGGTCTATTTAGCTTTAGAAAAAAGGGCAAATATCATCATAAAGCAAATAATAAATCTAAAGTAAAAAAATAATTATTTCTCTTACTATTAGAAAAAGCTAAGCATAGTACTTTCTCACCTATCAAAAGTGAGAAAACCATCTTGTTAAAGCTGTCTCTCCAATTTAAATTCACTTCGCCAAGTGGAAAAATCAGTTAAATGTTCCCTGCCTGTCTTACCTCACATGGTAGTGTAATTAGATATTACTAAGACCGTATCATTCCTTATTTGAATAAAAAGATATTTTATCATGAATGTAAAATCTCGAAAGTACCTGTATGCTCTCTTAGAGCTTGATATGTCTTTAGAGCAGACAAGCCAGGGAAAGGGCAAAGGCAAGGTTTGCTCTGATCTCTGCTCCTCTTTTTCTGTTCCCTCCATTACCGTTGAACTTGAACTAACATGCTCTTCAGTTACTCCAGAATGACAGGAAAGCTTGTGCTATTAAACTGCTATCACTACATTCAAAATCCAATCTTGAATAGTGCTGGTCTGGGATACAGCTCTTCTGTCCTTTGTCCCTGCTCCAAAATAAACATAAAAAATGGCGTTATAGAATTGTTCATGAAGTCAGATCTATAGTCATGATAGTGTATTCTGCTGTGGAACATATTCTACTGTGGCATGAAGAAGAATTAAGGTATATTTTCTTATTTAAAAAATTATAGTAAAGAACTTTTTGTTTCAAATTTTTACTTGATAAATTCAGAGTTACCCATCCTATCTACACATGAGGAGTGTGTGACCAAACTATTGTGGTTTGGAACTGCCATATTAACCTACATAACTAAACAAAACATACACATAAAAATTATTTGTTTAGTATTTCTTAAAATGTCTTATTTTAGGTATCTTTTGATAAAACAAAACAATTTTTCTCTTGGGTATTGGCTTCTGCCCTACTAATTCCTTCATATCACCAAAATATAAGACAAGATCAATGGTGTAAGAGACATATAATTCCTATGAAATATTCATGCTTAGCTACCCAATTGCTCTTGAAAATTGGAAATATATTTGTTTTGTTATTATTTGAATTAAAATTTTATGTGACTATAATTGAAGATATCATTTTCCTGTATTAGGTAATACAGATTTGATTAATAGAATCTTGCTGGATGCAGGATTTACAAATGAACTTGTTCAAAATTACTGGAGCAAGCAAAAAAATATGTAAGTATTTATTCTTATTAATAAATATAATTAGATATTCTACATTTCAATTTAGTTTCTTTCTGGGAAATTTTTGGATAATTTTGGGTCTCATAAATTTAGAGTTTTTTATTTTGTAGTGATTTCTCAAGACAATCATTTTACAGTTCTTGACAATTTGTATTTTCAACTGTGGGTATGATTCAGTGCTAACACTCCCATTTGTGAGCTTTGCATATTAATATGAATAAACTACATGTAGTAAGCATGTTTGCGTATGTCTCTGTGTGTGGTAAAATAGGATTTCTAGTAAATGCCTAGTTGAATTTTTAGTAGCACATACCATATACCTAGACAATAAACAGAGAAATCTGAGTTTGATTCTTGGTATAATCTCTTCTCCACTCCATTTTCAATCAATCATTCAATGCTAGGCACTTTTCCTAACAGCGTTTACCTCTTTTCTTCATAATCAAGGTCCTAAAACACCAATTTAGAGAAGCTACAGCAGCTGGCTATTTTGCTTTTTGTTATTCCCATTTCTCTACCCAGCTCAGGTCTGTTATCCCTACAAAGCATACCTACCTACAAGAGCCTTAATGGTAAAATGCAGTTCTAATTTCAACATAAAGACAGAAAATTCAGAGTATGGAGTGCTTGGCCCTAAATGGACATCTATATCACACCCTTTCCTTCCAAGGCTCAGGGATCATTCCAGAAGTCAAGGCAGAGAGATTGTAAAAGCCAAAGGAGGTGGATGAATGCAAGGAAGCCATGATTTCTGTACACAAGAAAGTTGCATGTGTGAATACATAGTGCTGGTGACAGCATGTACAAGACCTATGCAAGCCCAGGCTAGACAAAGACCTAGCATGGAGTGAGGAGCTGGTCAAGAATCCCAAGCCCTAACTGAGGAACTATTGGCAATTGATAGCTGCTGGGAGAGGAAGAATCAGTTTCCTTTAACGGTGTGAGGCTGAGTGGGTTGACCAGACTCCATGGAATGGTCCCACCCACAGGAACATTTGGGAAACACAAATTAGATTCAACAAGCCTTTAAGGTAATAATAATAGAGGACTCAAAGTCGGGGGTGGAGGTGAATAAACTGGGGGTAGGGGAGGAGGTATGAGTATGACAAATTACATTGTATAAAATTCTCAAGGAATCAATAGAAGCATATTTCTTTAAAAAGATCAAGCTTCCTCATCGATATTATGAGATATAAAATGTATTTATCAAATCTGTAATCATTATGCCAAAAAATCTGAATTACTGTAATATTTTGCATATTGTTAAAACTGTAACTTTAATTATTAAAATAATTATTTAAAAAAATACACACTAAATAGAAAAAAAAAAAAGATCAAGCTTTCAGACTAGTATGGTGTTATATGTCTATAGGCCCAGTTCATGTGAACTAAGGCCAGGGGATCACATATTTAAGGTCAGCTTTGGCATAGAAAAACCCTGTCTCAAAACAACAACAACAACAACAAAACACCATGGAGTCCTCTAGCCTGAGATTCTTACAACCCAACACCAGCTTCTTCACTAGCTTTCCCTTACACAGAAGCTTTCCCTTCTGTGAGGGCTGATGTCTTCTGTTTGCTCTGTCTTGCCTACTGATGCCTATCCCACCTTCAAAAGACAGCTCCATCCCTCTTTCCCATGAGATGACTTCCTTAAGCACATTCCCTTTGAGGACTTAATTTCATAGATGATTAACATACGGTTTTACATTTATCCATATATTTACCTTGGCTTCCTTCCTTTATTTTGTATCACCAACACCTCACTTAACATCTTAAAACTTCATTTTCAAAACTGTAGTCCCTTTATCTTCTGTTTCAGCAAAGGAGTGAAAGCACGCTTTGTGGTGACTGATGGTGGGATTACCAGAGTTTATCCTAAAGAGTAAGTTCAAATAACATCTGTACAAGTAAGTTCATTGCAACCAGTGGTGCCAAGAGTCTGTATGTTACCATGTAAGGAAGCTATTCTTTGGGAAAACAGATCATTGTTAGTAGACTGAATTTCAGTATTCTTTAAAGTGTTTACATTATTAAAATATTCCATTTCTCTGAAAAGCGATATTGTAGGATGTTTCAATGACATTTGCTAGTTATATATGTATATATTTTTTACATAATTTAAGAGGTAGAAAGAGTTTGTTTTCTTTGTTGACACAGTCCAACTGGTTCAACTGGTTACATGAGTACACTGACTGTGATCCATAGCAGCACCTGTGTAGCACAGCCTTGCTTGCCCTGGTCTCCATCACTCCTCTCTCCTTATCTTAAGAACAGTTCCTGTAGTTGGCTGAGTAGGTACCAAGACTTATTAATATTAATTAGCTGTCTTATCTGTAGTTTCTGGACTGGGAATCAGTCTCTTCTTATTCTTAGTATGTTAAGTTGATGCATTGCTTAATAATGAGTAGTTACACCATCCATACCTGACTTCCTTAGACTTACCTGAATGGTAGACATGCCGGTAAAACTGCGTTTCCATGAAGAAGAAAGCAAGTTATCACATAGCTTAAGGAATACAAATGATGAGAGCCATTTCCTCCCTAGGGCCGGAGAAAATTGGCAAGAAAATCCAGAGACATATGAGGACAGCTTCTATAAGCGGAGCCTGGATAATGATAACTACGTTTTCACTGCTCCCTACTTTAACAGTGAGTATCCTTAGGTTTTTCAGCTTTTCTCAATTCCTTTTTAATTAAAAAATTAAAAATTATTGCCATAGCCTTTCCTCCCATGAATCAATAGATTTTTATGAACTACTTACAATAGTACAATCATCATTAAGCATATAGTGTATGTAAGGGATTAGGAAAACAGAAAGGAAGCATTCATGTAGTTAGATAGAATGCATACACAGCCAGAAGTCATCCAGTAATGCAGAGATGGCATATCTAATAGGCATGCATAATAAACAGAAGCATATGTGGTTAATCCCTCATATCACAGCTATTCCATTGAAACATACCTAATGAATTAAATAAATTGGTATATGATTAATTGCATCGTATCTGCATTAATTATATAATGTAGCATTTGAAACAATTAATAGCACAGCCTTTAAAGTAATTTATCTGGTTCTTTTCCTCCAAAACTCTAATTTAATCCTTCAACATCTATGAACATAGGTATTTTCTTAACTCCAGTTTTCACAAATGAAGAAACTGAAAGTCAAAAGATTTCAGTTTTGTCCACAGACATATTTCTCATAAAAGGCAAAGCCTGTTTTGTGACTCCAATATCATTCTTTCCATTTCCCTTCTGTAGTCTCCCCATTAATTTAGCAAATGTTACAAAACTCAGATTGGGCGTGCATCTATTAGATTGCAGAAATAAGTGAACTCAAGCTAGGTAATCCATGTTAAACCAACTCTTGACTATTCAGATTATCCTGCTATATTCAGTAACAAAAGAGAACGTTGAGATATGTTTATAAGTAGAACACTTTCCATTTGTATGTACTGAAGGAGATTCGGTATTCTGATTCATTCATCTGTTTATTTTTCTTTTAGAAAGTGGACCTGGTGCATATGAATCAGGCATTATGGTAAGCAAAGCTGTAGAAATATATATCCAAGGAAAACTTCTTAAACCTGCAGGTAAGCATCCATGCTATATCACAGGCATGACAAAAGTTAATCAAGATACTATGTTTAAACCATAAACTGGAAACATTAATTTAGAAGGTCATCAGAAAGCCCTCAAAAAATAAAATTGAGGACATACAAATTAAAAACTAGAATAATGAAAATAACATCCCCTCTGAAATCTTGAAAGATCTATATGTGACTATAAACTGTTCATAAATTTATGTAATCAATGCAGTGTAACATGGCAAATTTTAAATCTGGGATTGGTCTAGCAGTTCTACTCTGGAAATCTCTTCTATTTTCAAATACATGAAAGGTTTGTGGCCAACGGTGTATGTATTTGTAATCTTTTTGTTATGTTTTTGTTTTGTTTTGTTTTGTTTTGTTTTGTTTTCTTGATACATTTTTTTTTTTGCTGTTTTGTTTGGGGGGGGGGTGTTTTGGTTTAGTTTGGGGGTGTTATGTTTTTGTTTTGTTTTGTTTTGTTTTCTTGATACAGGGCATCCCTGTAGCCCCAGCTGGCCTGGAAATCACTATGTAAACCAGGCTGGCCTTGATCTGCCTTCCTCTGCCTCCCAAGTGCTGGGATTAAAGGTGTGCACCATCATTCCAGCAATATTTATAATTATTTTAACATGAAATTAAGCTTCCATCACTGAGAGAAAAGATAAATTATGACCTCTCTATACACTAGACTGCTGTTTAGCTGCTGGAAAGAATTAGAATGACTCTATCAAAATGTACATTAAAATATATGTAGAAGTTGGATAAAATTGAAACCAAACAAGCAAACCAAAACATAGTAAAACAGGACCAATGAGAATTAAAAACTAGCTGGGGTGAATGAACCCTAATAATTAAAATTTAGTGTAGTGTTTTCATTATATGACTCACTATTGTTTCAATTATGTTAGGGAGAGCAGATGGAAAGACAGAGAGGGTGTTTTACTGCTCCTGGGAGCAGCGAAACCCTGGCAGTGGTTCTTCCACTAGGATTCACCCCATCCTTTCCTAGCTCATTCACCGGTTCACTCAGTTGCTCATTTACTCATCACTTATTATGTCAGCTGCTCACTCCTCCCCACCTTTCCCAATATCTCATACAATCATCTATTTACCCTTCCAAAAAAGTTTCTTAAGCACCTGCTTTTGTCAATTTTTATTGCGTCTTAATCAATCGTAATCATCTTTATACCCCCTTCCCCATTGGCACCCCCCATACCCCCCTCCCCATGCTCCACTGAAATTCATACCTTTTGTCATTCCTGTTAAGGCCCATCAGGTCAAGTTAGTGTCCCTCAGTGCAAATTTATCCACGGGAGTCTAGGCAGCCTATCTAGAGTCCTTCCCTTTAAGAAGATCAGCTCTTCCTCACACAGCAGTAATTACCCAGCCAATAATTCTTCCACTAAAATTGGGGCTTGTTGCCCATTTCCACAGTTCTGTGCTGGGGTTTTGTCTGCTTGAGTTTTCATAGGTTTTGTGAATGCTGACACCATTGCTGTAGGTTCATATGAGCAAGGTCCCAGGAGTTTGTAGGGCTCTATTCCTACATGGTCATGCACCACCTCCCTGGCTCTTACAATCTTTCTGTCCCTTCTTTCGCAATTGTCCCTGAGCCCTGGGTGGATGCAGTTTAATATGAGTCCCGTCCACAGACCACATTCTGCAGACTCTTACTCTCCATACCATTTGTGACCTTTTGTGTTCCTGGCCCTCTGTTGCACAAAGGAGCTTCATTGATGAGAATTGAGTGATGCCCAAGTGCCCCCTTTACCCCTTGTTCTGTGTTCCATGAGCCTTTGGTATAGAGTTTGCATTGTAGATGTGCCGTTTAGGCTTGGGTAATTCACAGACAGTGTCTGTGTGTGACCAGTTTTGGAACTCTGTAATAGTCTTTGTCTGTTGCAAAAGAAGCTTCTTTGATGAGTGGCGTGACTGGGATAACCCGCCCCCCCTTTTTTTCAATACACTACCCAAGTGATCTTCTATTTTTAAGATCATCCTTCACATTGTTTCTTGGTTATACTATTAATTGGCCAGTCAGATTGTAGTTGTAGACTATCCAAAAAAATGTGTTGTACTATGAGTTGAAATTTATAGAATAGTTTAAAGATTACTAGCATTATTGCTTAATGAAGAATCCAAGAAATATATTTCTGTATGAAACATTCTATTCAACACAAAGTTATATGCTTTTTTTATAGATGACCTAAGCTGTAATATTACAAAGATGATGTTACAGCCATTATGACTTTAAATTAATTTAGATTACTCTTTCAGTTGTGGGAATTAAAATCGATATAAATTCCTGGATAGAGAATTTCACAAAAACCTCAATCAGGGATCCGGTAAGAATGTCTTCATAATTCTTATACTATAATTAATAGTCTCAAGTTCAAATAAATAAAAAGTAAGACATTTCTAGCAGTAAAGTAAGTTTTTAGTGCCACTACAGTGAAATAGAAATACAAATCCCTGTCTTCAACATATGAGAAAAATATTTCAATAAATAAAAAGAAAAATATTTCAAAGTTGTAACTTGAAATGCTCCTGTAGATATCTATTGATTGATATTCCTAATTTAAAAGATAAAACTAGTATCTTTTATTCTGAACTATTATTTAATTTTATTTATGCTAGAGAAAATATTCAAGACTATCTTATTTTAATAAGGTGAAATAAACGGAATTAAAATTCAAGTGTTTTAAAAATGTGGAATAATAATTTTACTTCTCTTTTTATAGTGTGCTGGTCCAGTTTGTGATTGCAAAAGAAACAGTGATGTAAGAAAATACTTTTAAAAAATATTTCATTTATTATTTTTATTTTATGTATACGAATGTATTGTCTGCATGTAGGTAGGTGTAATACCTGCAGAGGTCAGAAGCGGGTGTCAGATCCCCTGGAACTGAAATTAAGGACAGTTGTTAGCTGCCAGTGGGTGCTGTTAATTGAACCACAGTCTTCTGCAAGAGCAGCCAGTGCTCTTAACCACTGAGACATCTCTGTATCCCCAAGAAAACACTTTAAAATAAATTTAACTATAATATGTTCTTTCTCTTGCTTGCTAAGTAATAAATCACATCAATGATTTTAAAATTCAGGAATCTTTAATCCTCTGCTAAAACATTCTGTGGAAAACTTATAAATACAAATTCAAATTTAGGTGTTTTGATTCTTTAAATGCTTCTTTGTAAACATATAGTAAGGGAAGGAAAAGAATCATGTCAATATGGATGACACTCTTTTCTGTGTCAATGATGTTAGATGCTTTTGATATATGTATCTTCATTTCCTCCTTGGGAAGTTTCAAACTAAAGCATTCTATTGATTCCAAATGCATTCTGCCCTCAACTTTTGACTTTCTGTGAATTTTTTTCACAATATCTATAGTGATAGAGAAAAATGAATTAAAGGCTGATGAGTGTAGGCTGTTGTAAAGTTTCACTTTCAAGGACTGATTGATCACTTCCATTTCAATTTCCTAATTGAAAAATAAAATGTGTACCAACAGTGCTAAAAAATTAAGCCTGCTCTTTGTGTAGTGTGAGATAAACTGTTCTAAGAAGTGAAAGAGAATGAATACGTTGACTATTTAGTCCATTTGTGTATATGTGTTTGCTATTTGCACAGGATGGAGAGGGTATATGTCATTCTGATTTACTTCTGCAATATTAGAAGCCAATCAGGTTTATTATTTTTAGAATTTACTTATTTTTCCATAGACTGTGCAATAGCTGTTTTAGGGCACAAGTTTCAGCAAACTTACTATATTTAGAAAATGATGTTCTCAAATTTGAAAAAACAAGTTCTGTGATTTTTTTCAAATAAGTTATTAAATTTTCATACATTTAAACTGGGTGGAAAGGTTTTTCCAGTCATGAGTATATTTTGTTTTCCCTTCTGTTTTAAATCTCTAATTAACCAACCAAACATTTTGAATACAAAGATATAAAATAGTTATACATATTTTGATGCTTGATTTTTTTTTTACTTATTCTGTGAAACAGAGTAAATAAAAATTTTAAGTGGCTTGTCAGAATCATATGTTTAAAATGACAAAAGAGTTATACATTATTAAATATTCTGGTCTGTCTAGCATCTTGGATATCTTAATTGACCTTGAAGTAATAAAAAGACCTTAACAGACTGTTTTCTATACTTTTTCTAGACTGAGTTGATAGTGGTAGCTGGATAGTTGGTGATAGATTATCAAAGCCTAGAAACTTGATATGAATGTATGCATGCCTGTAACATATGCACTCAACATCCCTGCACATATTTTATTTTAAAAAAGACAGCTACTGAAGTTTCTCTTATTTCTGTTGTCTGAGTTACCTGTATATACTGGAACAGTGAGAGTGAACATGCCAGCCTTCCTAAACACCTGCTGCTTTCTTTGCCTAGGTAATGGACTGTGTGATTCTAGATGATGGTGGCTTTCTTTTGATGGCAAATCATGATGATTATACTAATCAGGTATGAAACTGAAGTAAGGGAGAAATCAAGTTTCCAAAGTATATTTCTCTGATCAAAATTGCAAAACCAACTCAGGTGTTCTAGAAATTGATGTGTTTTTTTAATTACTGTCACAAAATAAATCCTAAATACATTAATACAACATATACCACTAAGCAATATATACTAAACCTTGGTTTTCTTGTTTTGGTAATTAATTTACTTTTTAAAAAATTTGTTTTTATTTCTCATTAATGAAGCTCCCTCATGCAATAGAGGGTCGGGAACACAAAAGGTCACAAGTGACCAAAACACAGAGATTAAGAGTCTGCAGAATGCCAGTCCTTGAACAGGGCTCCTATATTAAACCTCACCTGCCCAGGGCTCAGGGACCATTGCAGAAGAGGGGGCAGAAGGATTGTAAGGGCCAGGGAAGTGGTGCATGACCATATGACATACTTTTTGGTAACAGCAGTTACCATTAAAACATGGAACTAAGGATTTCAGAATGATTTGAACTTACCTTCATTCTATCAAAAAATTATATGGTAAATACAGCTGATAATGTCTAAATTGATATATAGTCAGTGGATGCAATTTCTTTCCCCAAATTTGCAAGTTCACTCAGGATTTAAAGGATACTTGATTTAGCTGCCAAATAATTTAATTCCTGAATCTACATTTCTAGCTTCTCTTTTTAAAATATCCAGAGAGTTCCCAACACTAGCCTTTTTTCTCAGTAACATTTGCTGTGGGCTAGAGCAAATAGTCTGTGATTGTCTGGAAAGCTGTGAGACTCCTCCAGTTCATCACAGAATCATCCTGCCGGGTAGCTTTCTACTTCTGCCCATTCTCCTTCAAAGTAATCTGCACTTCTCCAGGGGACATTTGGCTTTTCCTGTGATATTTGCCATTGTATATATTTAAGGTATATGAGATGTCTTTATACATAGTTTTTACTCTAAATCAAGCCAGTTATTTGTCATCTCGTAGTTACCTTCTTTTGTGAGGTAAGAGCAGCTGGAATCTACCCTTAGTAGATTTCTGGCTTACAGTGTGACATTACTAATTGTGGTCCTCTGAGGCTTATTCATTCATCCTAGGCAACCGCAACTTTTGTTTCCATTGATCTATGTCTCTTCATTTCCTATTTCTAATCCCTTTCTTCCTACCAGGGGATAACAAATTGTGACCTTCTTATGCTAATGGGTATCCTATTCTTCCCACAAATAATATATCATGGCAAGTCTCTGAGTCATGAGCTCCTAATCTCACTTTTGCTTTTACATAGGCAGGTTCTCATTTACTTATATTTATAAGCTCTTGATTTTTAGTTTCTTAGATGGTATCTTTTCTTTCACTGTATTGGTTCAGATGTTCATATTTGATTTAAATTTGAAACTACTGAATATTTCTCTTCTTTTTCCAGATTGGACGATTTTTTGGAGAGATCGATCCAAGTCTTATGAGACACCTTGTCAATATATCAGTTTATGCATTCAACAAATCTTACGATTATCAGTCCGTGTGTGATCCAGGTGCTGCACCAAAGCAAGGAGCAGGGCATCGCTCAGCATATGTGGTGAGTAAAATCTGTTTCAATCAGCTCCTCTCGAAGGAGCATTCAAGTGTAGACCATTGTAATGAGTTCTTATTATATTTTATAGCCATCGATTACAGACATATTACAAATTGGCTGGTGGGCCACGGCTGCTGCCTGGTAAGTCAAAATGTGATTTTTATTGGTAGTGAGAGAAAGGTATTATAAAATAGTAAAGCCTTTAAAATATCGATTTTGTGATGGGTAAAATATTAAGGGAATTATTCTTTTTTTCCTATAGAACATATAAGAAATATAAGTAGCTATTTCTAAATGATCATGTGAAACAATTCAATTTTTAATAAAAATAATGTTAAGCTGAAGCAGATTTCAACTTTTTCAGAGAGTTTCTTAATTAAATTTCTTCCTTTACAATTGTGTATATGCATGTAAAGTGCGTTCTGATTGTTCTCATTCCCCCATCCTCTCGTATCTTCCTGCCACTCCTGTTGACCCACTCTCATCCCATTTGCTGTGTTCATGTATTTTTGTTTTGTGACCCAGAGATTTTGGCTATCTGAGTGATCAGGGGTTTGGAAGCATCCATTTGGAGCCTGGTGAATCCACTAGTGGGCATACACTAAAGATAATGACTCTCCCAGAATCCATCAATAGCCAATAGCTCAGCATGGAAGGGTAGGATCCCAAGAGCCTCTCCCTTATCCATGACTGACTGCTGATAGGTCCAGTCTTGTGCAGGTCTAGAGCAGGCAACCACAGCTTCTGTGAGTTCGTGTTTGCAGTGGCTGTGACATGCCCAGAAGATGGCACTTGGCAGCCCTTCCCTTATTCCCCAGCTCTTACATTCCTTCCACTGCTTTTCTGCAATAAACCATGAGCTGTACAGAGAGAGGGTGATGTAAGTCTACTGAGCATCGCTGAGCACTCAGCCTCCCCCAGTCTCAGCATCTTGAGCAGCCAAGCTTCTCTGTATTCACTGCTGTGCATTGTAAAGAAAACTATGATTAAGGCTGAGAGTAGCACTGTTCACATATCTAAACGTAGTCATCTAGAAGGCAGTTTGATGCCATTATCAGTTTAACTAGAAAACAGTAGTAAGTCCCTACCCCCCACCTGGCCCATGACTTCCCCATGGATAGGTTTTTGACTGGATTTTTCTATCGTCCTGTTAGAACTCTTCATTTGTTTGTTCATTATATTTAATGCCTTAAATATTCAGAATGTTGCTCTAGAGGCAGGAATTATTTTGAATTCTCTGTGAATTCAAGGCCAGCCTGGTCTACATAGCGAGTTCCAGGACAGCTGGGGCTACAGGGAGACCCTGTCTCAAAAAAGACCAACCCCCCCAAAAACATGATTTAATATCCAAATAAAGTGTCTATATTATGTAATTCAAGACATGGGGACTTAACTTTCTACTGCTTTACCTTGAATATAAGGATTGGAGTAGTGCTAGAAGCTTTGTGTTGTTGATATGCATCTGGTTCTCTCTTTTCATGGCTCTACTTACTTCCTTTACCCCCCCACCATGCCCTTCCACCAGTGGAGTTCAAACACTGAACTGTTGGGACACTGTGGGAATGTGGAAATCACATTCTGATCCCTCACGTCACTCAGCTTCCTCTTGTGTCTCGGATCCCTTATCACCCTCCTTCCTTCCCTCTCTACTTATCTCCTGCCTTTCCTATCTTTCTGGTTTTGTACATCACTGTGTCATATTGTCTTGGTCTTATTCTATGCACAGGAATCTATAATATTCATTGAGTACTAATAGTCTTGCAGATATAATTAAAGGTTTATATAATTTTTTAAAGTAATAGAAAACATTTAAGATATTTTAAAAATCACATTTTTCTCTGAATGTGTGGTGGTGCATGCCTTTAATCCCAGCACTTGGGAGGCAGAGGCAGGTAGATCTCTGTGAGTTTAAGGCCAACCTGGTCTACACAGTGAGCTCCAGGCCAGCTTGGGCTACAAGGAGACCCTGTCTCAAAATGAGCAAAAAAAAAAAAAAAAAAAAAAAAATTATTTTACACTATGACAGTACTGTTTGTGTAAGTAGCTATTCTATATCTTGCAATGATCCTGAAACACTTGCCTTTGGCCTATTTTCTAGCCCAATTCTCTGTCACCACACCTTAACTAAATATAGTTCCCAATAATTCTAATAATGTTTAGCTCAATTATCACTTATTTACAAACTAAATTGTGCCATATTTCTCCATATAATTTTCTGCATGTTATTTTATAAAAGTCACATTACAGATTAGCAAATGACTGTGTACTGGGGGGTAAATAGCTCAAACCCAAGCCAGTTTTGTTTGTGTGTTTATTGCATTATAGAGTTTAATAACTAAAATCAGGAGAAAATTCAATATATGCGATCCTGCACACTGAAATATTCACATTATCCCCTACACAGTTCCCACTTTACCTCTGTGTGTCCCTCACTTGGTCCCAAATACATTTGCTCTTATGACTCTTTCACAAATTAGAAACAAAGGTACAATATTTTGCATAATTTTGTTTTGTTTTGTCTTTTTGAGACAGGATCTCTCTGTAGCCCCATCTGGCCTGGCATTCAATATGTAAACCAATCTGGCCTCAATCTCACATCTCATAGAGATCCACCTGCCTCTGCCTCCTGAGTGCTGGGTTTAAAGGCATGTGCCAATACATCCAACCCTATTTTGCACAATTGTAATATAAAAGTGCCATTAAGGTTTCTGTGAAATTTGACTTTGCCCAAAATGATAAAAATGGAATATGTATTTTTATGTGTGTGTACTTGCAAAACTATCCAGAAATTTCATGAAAAATTTATAAAGAAAATGTTCTAGATGTATATCAATTATTGATTTTAAAAATTCAGGTCTATCCTCCAGCAATTGCTCTTGAGTTTGACCTTTCCACGGCTCCTTGAGGCAGGTATGTCAATGCACACATGTGGCCACTGTCACAGCAAAAAGTAAAGCATTATTTTGTATTATGCTGAGTCTGATAAACTCAAAGACCACATTTGTGTTTGTGTGTGTATGTGTGTGTGTGTGTGTGAGAGAGAGAGAGAGAGAGAGAGAAAGAGATAGAGAGAAAGACAATCATCAAACATACTTTTGCTATATTGAAATTTTTGTTAAATATTTTCTAAAAGTTTACAATTTTCTATACTTTTGTAATTCATATTGGCCTGCATTTTGTAGCTGATATATTAATTTATTATTGAGAGACTTTCCAGGCACCTCTTAAGGACTGTCAGGCTTTTACTCAGCAGTAAACAAGCCAATCAGACATTTGTTCTTATACATTAATTTTGCCCCATGAGCATGAAAAGCTTGGTGTCCCCTCATAATGGTGATCTTCATTTTGACTCCCGCAGTTGAGATGGAGGAGGATGACTTCACAGCCTCCCTGTCAAAGCAGAGCTGCATCACTGAACAAACCCAGTATTTCTTCGATAATGACAGTAAATCATTCAATGGGGTATTAGACTGTGGAAATTGTTCCAGGTACTTTGTTCCTTTGTGTTTGGCATAGTCCTAGTTCACCAAAAAACTGTATTTACTTCTATCATAGCACAGAAAATAATGGAAGTTGTTAGTGGAGCCAGAGGTGATAGTTGTTTTAAGTTAAAAATGTCAGAAATCTAAAGCTTCTTCATAAGCTTATAAACTCAAATATTTTTAAAATCTACTTTTGATAATTTGTGATTCTTTTAACTGTAATTACATAAGCAGGATAACTTTCTAGGCAGAACAGAGATAAATTTGGTTATATTTTGATATATTTTCACATAAAATAATTCAAAACTTTATAACACAGAGAAAGTTTAATTATGCCAATAATGATTAGCTAAATGAGACTTCTTTTTATTTATGGTAATTAGGTACGTCTGTAAAAAGATATTCAGCAGGGGTGGGAGAGGGTGTTTGTTTATACTTCTGGTGTTCTCTGACTTGAAGAAGCTATTACTCCCTTTGATTTGAAATTGAAGGAACTGAGAAAAATATTATTTCATAAGGTCATAATTAATGTTAACATTCATATAACATCTTCAAATTTGGGGGTAAGACATGGAAAAATGTAATTGGTTATAATGGGACAGCATAGAAAAGCAAGGTGGGGATTTTGGAAGGTCTGGAAGGAAAGTGCTAATCTCTGGGATCCCTGAGGACAGAGCAGAGAGCCACAGCTTAGAAAGCACAGAGGACACAGGTAGGGCATTTTGGTTTTAGAGATAAATGACAAGTTATTGGAGAAGAACGTTAACAGAGAGAAGAAGAAATAGGAGGAGATGAGGTAATCTTAGATTGTGAAAGCACTGCTGGGGGTTGAGAAAGTCAGTCTATAACAATTACAAATTTTTTTTTTTTCCAAAAGAGTTAACCAAAGTTCCCATGAACATGTATCAAACATGGTTAGTATTTTTACACTTGCTTTTGCAAACTACAGTCTCCAAGGAGGAGGTAGAAGTTGTGAGGTGGAAAGAAAATGAGCGAAGTCAAATATGAACTCTGAAAGAAGATCATTTGATTCAGCAAAAGGAATACCAGCCTGTAGTGTAGCGTCTGCTTTCCAAGGAGTCTCACAATCTCTTGGTCAATTCACTAACTGAGGTTCAATGACAGCAAAGTGTACTGAAGAGCTTAGTGAAACTGCAAGGGTAAAGATTAGTGTAATGAGGTCATTTAAATGAATCTGTGTTTTCGTGTGATTTGCTATGGCCTCATTTCAATGGGCAAAAAAGCAAGTAAAATTTCACTTCTTTGAAAAACACGAGCATAAAGGAATGTGATCTTTGTCATATATTTATATTGTTATGTTGGTTTCAAAGGAAGACAGAGCAGCTGAGACTGGAGGTGGAACTCAAATCCCTTGATTCTCTATCAGAGCTGTCCAGTGCAACAGCTTCCAACTATGGACACCTATTTACATTTCAATCAAAGTTAAATATATTAATTGAAGTTCTGTGCCCCTTTTACAAGATTTGTGTGACTCACGTTTAACACATTGAACAAAGCACAAACCATTTCCATCTTCATAGGAAGTCTGCTGAACAGCTTTGTTCCACACTTTATTCTGACAAGCTTACCTTTGACAAGATGTATAGTAACTTTTGTTTCCTAGTTTGGGTATCTGTAAAATAAAGCATATTGCCTGTAATAAATGCCACAATTTCTCATCTCAGTGTTAGTACCAAAAACAATGAGTCTTTCTGCAAGGAACAATACATTCTAATATGAAATGGAGATCTTTTTTAAAGGTTAAAAACTCATTCAATTTCTTAAACATTTAAAATTGAGCATTTTTATGAATTTCAACAGCAACTAAATAGTGCTCATTTGTAATGAGGGCTAAGAACTTTAAAGATTACAATAAAAGATGTTTCAGATATGACCTTGATTTTTTAAAATATCTGTCTAAAAGAAGTGATATATTCATGCTAATAATGTTTCTCTTCTCAAATCACACACTTTTTTGTGCTGGTTTGTGACGGTCATACTTGTGTTTCATTAAGTCTTGTTTTGTCTTTCTTTTTAATAAGTGAGGATCTTTAAAAATCTCCATTTCCCCCCCAAATACTCTTCATTCAGTGAAATACTCTTACATGTGTTTTGCAGAATCTTTCATGTAGAAAAACTGATGAACACCAACTTAATATTCATAATGGTTGAGAGCAAAGGGACATGTCCCTGTGACACACGGCTGCTCATGCAAGCGGAACAGACTTGTATCCTTTTACATCAGAGATGTTTGGAACAGACCATCTCAAAGCACTGCATTTTTAAACTTGTCACATTGTTTATGCTCATAAAGAGAAAAATATTGCACTACCCAAAATGTGGTTTGAAGGTCTGAACTGATAACATATTCCGTTAATATGAGAAAGAGAATTGACAATTTAGTTTCTCATAGCCCCAAGTACTTGAATTGGTTGTACTGGATGAGGGCATAGCACAGGTATATCTTGATTACTTTTGGAAATAAACATATTTCATTGGATTCTTAAATCATGTTTGTGAAAAGTTACATCCTATTCCTTAACAAATATTGTTAGCTGATGGTCCAGATCCTTGTGATATGGTTAAGCAACCCAGATACCGAAAAGGGCCTGATGTCTGCTTTGATAACAATGTCCTGGTAAGGTTCCTTAGTGCATTAAATGGTAATAATTAATGGTCACTGCCAATAAGAATTACAGAGATAACTTTTAATTTTTAATTCAAACATTACATCTTTATCCTAGATTTTCTAGTAAATAGACATTTTCCATTTCAATAGTTTTCATAGTTAGCTTAAACTCAATAATTGCTTCTCCTGTTCTTCCCACTAAAATTTTACTTTCAAACACAACTTAAATCAATTTAATAATAGTTTTATGATTATTTTAATGACGCATTAATGAGTAATAATCATAAAAACCATACTCACTGTATACATATTGCCTACCTTAATTATTTATACTAGATTGATGAAAATTTGTTATTTCAATCTATTTAGTTATGTTTAGTCATCATCCAATGTATTTAAAAGCCCATTATAATTAGTTGCTATCCTATTATCTTTTTTGACTTTCTTCTCCATGTTTTTAAAATCTGTTGGTTTAGAGTTTTATTATAGACCTCAGTTGTAATAATTTCTTTTTCCTTTATCTTATACTAGTACCGGGTTAATTTCACAAAATATTACAACCTATAACTAATGTGCCTTACTTAACAGTGATTACTACTTTTCTTAAAATTTAGCTCTTTCCTGCTTCCTACTATTTTGACTGTTACTTACAGTCTATACATACATATTCATATATATCCAGATTTTTATATATAACCAGCTTCTTTGCTTTTAAAATTAAAAACTTTATTCTCGAAGATGATTGCCTTTGGAAGATCACTATTTATTTTTACTGCTTTCAATGTTCAATTCTCTAATTTTTAGTGATTTTCACATTCACTTGCTTACACATACCTATAAACATTCAGACTACTGTCATTTCTTGAAATGATATTTTAAAAAAAAACATGTTAGAAGATCCACTGATTACTGTATATTCTTACAGGTATTTATCTAAAATATGTTTAACTATTCAGATTTAGTGATATCAGCCCCAGAAATGGTAATGCATTTCTCACAGAAATATATTATGAAAATAGACATGTGAACTAAAAACAGAACATTATTTTAAAAATAAAACCAAGGACTGAGAAGATGGTTCCGTGGACAAGAGTACTTGCTTTCAGAGGAGCTGGATTTGAATTCCTGGCACCTACATAAAAAGCCAGGCATGGCTGTGCTTGTAGCTTCAACATTAGGGAGTGCAGACAGGTGGATCCCCAGAGCTCCTTCTCCAGCCTAGTCAAAACTATAAGCCTCTGCTTCCGTGAGAGACCTTGTCTCAAGGCAAGAAGGCAAAGTGATAGAGGAAGACACAAGATATTCTGCTATGGCCTGCTCAGTACAGGCACTGTACATCTGCATGCTGAATAAATTAATGAATGGATGGATGAATGAATGAGTGAGTGAATGAATGAATAAATACATGAATGGATGAATGAATGAATGAATAAATGAATAAATAAATAAATAAATAATAACCAGTAGTGGGGATAGAGCTAAAAATGTAAGATGTTGCAATCAGGAAATCTCTATAAGAATTAATTTTCCTTTTGATAGGGAAAGTGTTTAGAAATTACAACTAAGCCCTTTTTTCCAATTTTACTAAATAAGACTTCTTTCTTCATTATTGTTTTGAGACAGGGACTCACTGTGTAGCCCTGACTGACCTGGAACTGGCAGCATACACCAGGCTGGTCTGGAACTCAAGATATGCCTGCCTCTGCCTCCCAAGTGCTAGGATTAAAGTTGTGTGCCATCACACCTGGCATCAAATAAGAACTTTTCAACACACAGATATGAGGACTCCTCTAGTCTTTCTAATATACCTTCTATCCACTATGTTTTCTAGAGGCTTGCTCATGTCAATTCATTCCTTAAAGAAAGTGGTTGCTTGCAGTCTCCAGAGTATTGTCACTCATTAAGGAATTGTCATTCATCAACAGTCACCAACTTCCAACAGTACAAACACAGATTAATTCACAAAGCTGAATTTACAAGATGATGTAGAAACACTAAGACCCCAGATATTCTCATCACGGGATATTCTGTTTTATCAAGACAATTAAAACATTAAGACAAAATTTCTAGCCATTTGAATTTATCAGCTATTTCAGATTGTGTGTGAAAGTACAGTTCTTGTTCCACAGCTTGGGGTGCTAACAATGTATTGTGTTTCTTGGTAGTGGCACACTTTGGTAATGCGTTGGTAATGCAATGGTGGGTGCGAATCCGAGCTGGGTAAAGGCTCACATTAATTTCTAATTACTAGAAAATTGCACGAACTCTCATTTTGTCTGTCTTCCTTTCTATATTTTCTTTTCTTTCTGTACTTGCTACATTGCCTATTATTATTATTAAATCCTGTCACAATGAGTCGATTCTGTCTGGTGATACCAGTTTCTATCTTCACATTACTGCAAGTTTGCCTGGGTGTGGGTGGTCAGTCACTTTCTCTAATTTTTCTTTTCTTTTGGTTTTGGCTTAAAATTTTATAAAATAACTCATATCCTCAAACCTATGATTAAAAAAATCAGGATTATTAAAATTTTAATACTAGAATTATTTTGTACTTTGCTGTTTTCAAATGGCACATCAGTTTCTCATCCTGAACTCAGCAAATTAGATTCTTATGTTGATTTAAAAAATCATTATTTTCTCTGGAACTGCAGAGTTGCCTCAGAAGTTAACAACACTGACTGCTTTTACAGAGAACTTGATTTCAATTCCTAGAACCCACATGGCAGCTAATAACCATCCTAACTCCAGTCCAGAGGATCCATCGCTTTCTTCTGACCTCTGTGGGCATTACACAATGTGTGCACTTACACATATGCAGGCAATGCACTCATATACATAAAATAAAAATAATCAAATATTGTTAAAAATCATTATTTTCTCATAAGGTGTTTGTATAGAGTCTATGTGAATAAAAATTGATGCAACCTCCATGACTTCATGACTTCTTGCTCTTACTAAAGAGGCAATTGCTAGAAGTAGTCATCTTAATTTAATTTTAGAAAATTCTAACATGAGATTAAAGGCCCATTCTAATTTTATTAAGCATTATTTATGAATTTCTGAGCCAATTGTTCTGATATTTTTCTTTAAAAAAAAACTAACTTAAACAGCATTTTCAGACTTATTTCCAAAATATTTATATGCCTGTTGTAATATTTTAGTATAAAACCTCTTATTTTCTGAGATCATTTTATGCAATGTGATTTGTATCTAGGCCAAAGTTACCATTAATCTTTGATCTTTGGAGAAATTTCTGAATTAAATAAGCAGTACTGCTGAACAGATGCTGTAGACATGTGTCGGTGCTCAGTGTTCCAGTTATTGCTAATGCTGTTCCATCTCTGATGTTCTGGAGTCATCATGATGGTTTGACCGCAACTTTTGGTGATAGTGTGTTCTTTCTTGATTGGTCTCTAGATATTCATTGGCTAAGAAACTGCTAGATTGAAGTGTGACTATTACTAAGAACAGAATGAACTCATGGAACGATGGGGCAAGCAAAGGGAACCTCAGAAAATAGCCACATTTTCTCTGAGACAATAAAATATGTTTTCATATAAAAAGTTCAAGTAAAGGTAACCTAGCCAGTTTTAATTCTTAAACTAAAATAACAAAATACACTGAACCCTCTGCCCAGGGTGCTATGTACATTCAATTTACATTTATAAAATAAACAGTGTTATTTGGAATATGCCCTGATATGTACCTTAAAGAAGTATGTAATTAACTACATTAGAAAATGTAATAGAGGGCTGGAGAGATGGCTTAGTAATTAAGATCACTGACTGCCCTTACCGAGGACCTTTGTTCTAGTCCCAATACCCATCTGGTGGCTAACAACTCTTCTTCACTCTGGTTTCAGGGGATCTGAAACTCTTCTGGCCTCCGTGGGCACTGCATGACAGAGGTGCACTTACATACTTGCAAGCAAAACACTCATACCCATAAAATTAAAAAATTAAAAATAAATAAAAAATTGAAAAGAAAGTGTAAGAGAATTCTATTTTTCTATAATTATCCCTATTTGTGATCATAAGAGAAATGAGCAAAGTAGAGCCCAAGGGAACCAACTTACTATATAGTGTGTGTGAAAAGAGTATAATATAAAACCATCATTTTTATGTTTCTTTGTAAAGTTTCCTTTTCTAAAGAACAAAAATTATAGATATGAATGACAGGTAATCAATTAGACATAAAAATACTAAGCACTGGGCTTTTGTAAGCTATCATTGTTTAAGGAAAACATTCCACAAAACATAATATGAAAGAAAACAGCAATATAAACATTTTAAAAGTGACCTAGAAATTTTATATATAAAATGGATCAGTAAAAGCATGCACCACTTAGTAAGATGTGGGCATTTGTTCATTTTAATTTGTTAATTTTATCTTAATGCTGCAACAATACAAAGAAGTAATGCCTAAGTTTGTTTACTGACTTTATCACCTGCTACTATAGTTAGCTTTTACTATTTTTGTTTTCCAACTTTTCTACAATGAATGAGAAGTACTTATTTTTCAACCAGAATGTCATATCCAAAGGAGAATTTTTTTTTTCTACTTGAGATCTCTTTGCTCAAATTTGGTGCCTACCAAACAATTATTTGAGTTCTGATTTTTCTCCTGAGACACTTGTTTTCCAAGACAGAGTGCTTTACCAGCTATGCAGCGAAATGTGTATAGCATCTTCAAGTAAACACATGCCATCTAGGCACGTGTCTATTACAACTCACTTGAAAATCTAGCACAAGAGCCTGGCATCCTGTGTATAGCATATTCAAGTAAACACACGCCATCTATGCACGTGTCTATTACATCTCACTTGAAAATCTAGCACAAGAGCCTGGCATCCTGTAGTGCTGAGAGAGAGAGAGAGAGAGAGAGAGAGAGAGAGAGAGAGAGAGAGAGAGAGATGATAGTTTTAAATGAAATTCACTACATGAGAAGAAATTTAAAAATATGAAAAATGTGTCAGAGTATGGCAGCTGGGAATAAAGGTAAAGAATAAGTGGGCTCATAGGGAATCCAGCTAAAATATGATTAGTCTGTACAGAATGCAAGTAGTTGTATTCACTGCACATACTGATAGCATTGCATGGGGCTGTGAACAAGCCCCCTTCTTCCAGCTTAGTTCTACATTTGAAGCCTGTGTTTCCAGAATGTCTTTGTATTGCTTAGGGTCAAATATATTATTTTTCACTTCATTATAACTCTTAAAGTCAGGGTGCTACTGTGCCCTGCCTGTATGTTCACCTTGGACATAAGATAGGGGAAACGGATTATGATTTCTTAAATATATTTCACTTATGGAGCACAGGTGTTAAAACCATAATTCTTGGAAATGATAAAAGCATCGTTAAATTTTTTATGTGTCAATACTGTTTTTATCATGATAGTGAATTTTTATTAGCAATTTATATATCAAAACAATTCATTATTATTAGCATTCTTTCATGATTATCAGAATTTAAAACATGTGTCAAATAGTGTTAGGGAAATTGCTTCAACTCAAAGTTTCTGTACAATGAAATGTAGGTAAATATTTGAGTTCCAGTGAAGGCAATATTACAAGGTAAGTTCAAAAGTGGACTAAGTATGGATTAATCTGAAAGATGCTTTGTTGCAAGTTTTCAAGATTGTCATTTTACTTATTTACCTTTCATTGCTAACAGGAGGATTATACTGACTGCGGTGGTGTTTCTGGTCTGAACCCCTCCTTGTGGTCAATCATTGGACTCCAATTTTTACTCCTTTGGCTGGTATCTGGCAGCAGACACTTTCTCTTGTGACCATCTAAACCCAAAATCTGCAACTGAACTCCAGACCCTACCCAAACATGAGCCCTCAGTTACATTCAAATAGGGTCAGCTGAGGAATCTACATGCAGAACATTAGCTGGGCCTCTACCATGGAGTAACTCTAAGGCACAGAATATCAAGACTCCCACTGGCTGCATGTCACGGTGTCAAAACCTGATTTGTGTGAATGCTGCATCATCTATGTATAACATCAAAGCAAAATTCTAATTGTGCTCTGTGGAAAATTTGGGAGTTTGCTGCTGTATTGTTGGTGGTTACATGTGAAAGGGCTCCCCATACGGATGTTTGAGTCAGAAGAGTCTTTAATTTTGACCTGGAATTTCAACTTGCTGCAGTTTTACCAAGGAAAATCCCTGGTGGAGAGGAAAGTCATTTTTGCCTTCATGTTCTTTCTGCTAAAAAGTAGTTCCTGCTTTGAGTAGTTATTGAGTAGAGGGAGAAAGAGAGAGAAAAAAATAGATTGGTCTAAACTGTTGAAATATAAACAATGGCTAATTTTCTACAGAAAATTGCCATGAATAAAATGCCTTATAAAGAATGACTTCTCTGCCAAAAACAAAACACAGCTTGTGACCAATTACATTTGGGTGAGTTATGAATTGATAACTTGAAAAGAAGGGAGATATGATTCAACTAAAGGTGCTTGCAGGTGAAATTTGAACTTTTGACATATTTCTTCATATATGTAAGCCCTTAAGTGCGTGATGTAATGTCCCTTTTGTTCACAGTAAAGTCATGTAGTGCTAGCCAGATAATCTAAATGCTCTAAGAAAAGCTTGTGGGGGGTGGGGACATGTTTTTCTTGTGATTAATGAACTTGGGTTACCAAGGGTATTTTGCATGATGCTGCTGCTCTTTAAAATTTTTGGTTTGTTTTTCTGTTTCTTACTGTAGAGTATAGTCCATTGAAAAGTTACCTGGGTGACATTATTGTCATGTAAGAATCTGAACCTTGCGTGTAAATGCACTTAATTCATCTTTAAAAATGTTGCTAAACGATTCTGAATATACTGTACAATGTAAATGCTGAATGACTAGGTTAGGCAAATGGCGAAATGAAAATTCATGAATTTTTTACAGATTCGTGCTTTTGCCTGAAAACCTATGTACAGATATTTTACGTACATAAATCAAATTTAACACATTTATTTTTTGAAAAGTACATATACCTTCTCAATGAAGATTCATCCTAGGTTTCCTCTTTGTTCGTCTCAATAGTAGCATGTACAATCCAATTGCTGCTGCTGTTCCTGCTTCTGTCCCTCCATGCTGATAAGATCATTTGACCAAAATTTCCGTGCAGCTTCATGAGGAGTTTAACAATAATCTGAATAAATAGGAAACCTTGAATCTATGTGTATGCACATGAACACTTGATTGTGAATAATAAAATTTGTTTTATACAGCCTCATTGGTGAAAAGCATTAGTGATGTAGAGCAAATATATGGTAGCAAAACTTTATGAGTTTAAAAATTATTTTCAGGAATAAACAGTATTTGAAGAAAGGGTAAAAACAACGAATGTGTCCACGAAGAGTAATTTTACTAAAAGCTGAAAGTATGCATATATTTTTATGGTAAATCAAGTTCTTCTTTTTTAACATGCCAAGTATTGGTGTGTGTAGATGCTGGAAATTTCTGTGACATTATTTTACAATCAAAGTTATTTACATTCTCCAGCATGCTTTAATACGCTCCACATATCAAAGGTGTAGCCAACTCATTAGCATAGTTGTTTGTTTTGTTTACAGCTTTGTATACATTGGGTACCATTTGTGCTACATTTCCTTATTTACAATTTTTTCCTTAATTTAAAATGGGGGAGGGATGATTGGAATCATTCTGCCAGCCATTGTTCTAAGAAGTGACATCAGTCACCATTTTAATGCTTTGTCATTTTTTAGTCCATTCATAACTGGTACTGACATTTTAGAAAACACAAAAGTAATATAAAAAGCAAGACAATGTTTAAATCATGTTGTTTATAATTAATATTCAAAAGTTATTGTTACCTTTTGCTAGACCTTATTGAATCACGGACATGTTGGGGAAGGAAATCTCAAAATATAAAATTGCTAGTTTGTACATATAAGTGATGCGCATTAAAACCATTTAATTGCTTCCAGCATACAACAAACTACCTTAAAGTGTATTAACTGTATTTTCATGGCTAATGTCACTACAAAGTGTCTTTCCATCAATGACACTTGTATTAATCACCGTTGAACTTGGCATCTCTTGGCAAGGCCCCATTTGATCACAGTTAGATTATCATCACAGCCACATGCCTGGTAACAATTGGGTGAATGCATGATCTCTGATCAAGAATTGTTTTCATGACAGATACTAATGTTCAGGCTTTAGCATACTTTTTCTTTAAAGGACAGTAACACTCATGCCATCGAATTACAATATTAAGTTTACTATTTTCCTGTGGGTTCTGTTGACAAGAACTTAGTCTGTTACAGATTTACAAAGACTGAACAGTGTGAGATCAATGAAAAAAACTTTTAAAATATTTTTACCTATTTAACTGTCATTTTACTCCTGTAGCTGAGTGCGCTTTGTCACACAAACAGAGTCAAAACGAGTCTTACCTTGGTGTTGACTAGCAGGAAAGAATTTCACATAAATGGTTTCATCTTTTCTTCATTTGAACAACCAGCATTACTGCCAAGCACCAATCGTGGTCCACATTTGTAACAGGTTTTTAACATGACATAGTTAGCAAGTTTGATTGAAGAGATTTTTAGGTCCTGGGCCTACAAGATTTTAGTATGATCTTTTTTCATGTTTCTAATGCATTATTGCTTACCTTGGGAAAAAATACAGTGTTGCTGCCATTTGTAAGTTTTCCTATAAATAATATTCCTTTTATTAACTTTAAAACTGGCCTTATGGGGTTCAAATAGGCAGTATCCCTTTTAAGTGACCTTTGCAACCCAAGTGTTACTTGCTTATTTGATGCTCTCTTGTATTTTACATCTCAGTTAAATACTTGTCTTCACCAAAGCTTAAATTCTATGTCTTAATTTAAAACTCTTAGGCTGTTCCATTGATTGTGTTAGTTGATATAATAAAGTGTCTAAAGGCATAGAGTCTGACCTAGGGAGACACAATGAATTTTGTGGCTTTTCCACTTGCCCCGAATTTTAATATTTTTTCATTATCTGAAATGTGTATTGTTTCTCATAGCAGAATGTTAATATTGTTAATATTCATTGTATATTTCTGTAAAGAGCAAATCACTACAGTGAACTATCAAGTGCTGACAACTTCCAGAATTCCGAAGAATTAAACAGCCCTTACAAATACTTTCATCTACCTTATTTCTAGCTCATATAAAAGAAACATTGAAATTCCACTGAGACTCATGGGATACTGTCTTGTATAGATGCCAACTGAGTTTCCAATGTGACCTGGCAAATCTGTCTTTCTGTTGTGCTGTGATTGTGGGATCATGCTTTTAGGGTTACTTTTAATGAAACATTCAACGTGCATCCTTGCAAAAAGCCAAGGGGCTTTTGTGAACAATAGATCTTTTCCCCCCTTTATTACGTTCTCTTGACACTTTTGTGGAAATTAACTAGCCTGATGAAGACATTTTGTAAAAATTTGTATAATACTGTTATAAAAAATATTTATAATCCCAGAAAATGTTGTGTTAAATCTTGTGCAAAAACAGTATATTCAGAATAAAAGTTTATCATTTAAATTCACCACACAGTTTGCATTTTTGACTGTTTTTTTTTTTTAAAAAAAAGATCCAGTGGAAAGAGATAGAGGATTTCAATATATATATAGCCTAACAGTTGACAGATTGACAGTGAATGGCATTAGAATTAAAATATAATGTAATTATTTTTAAAAGATGCTAAAAATGAGACTGGAGAGATGGCTCAGTGGTAAGAACACTAGCTGCTCTTGCAGAAGACCTGGGTTCGATTCCCAGCACCCACATGGCAGCTAGCAACCATCTGTAACTCCAGTTCCAGGGGAATCTGATGACTTCTTCTGACCTCTGCTGGCACTGTATGACATGAGTGCACTTACACACCTGCAGGCAATACACTCATACATATAAAATGAGCATAAGAAATAAATACTTTTTTAAAGATGCTGAATAAGTTCCTTTTACATTTATGCCAGCTTACCACTTCCCTAACTTCTGGCCACCTAAGGAAGCGATTGGAAAATAAGGAAATGTATGCTACAGTAGTTCCATACACTAGTTTCCTTTTTTTTTTTTGTACTGAAGTATTTCATAAGACACACCTTACCACATTAAAGTGGAATGCAATATGTGGGTAGCCATTACAATGGCTAAGTTGGTTGCTGTGTCTGATCAAGGCATTTTAGCAGGAAAATAGAACCTACTTAAAAGTTTACCGAAGATAATATTTGTTTCCTCAACATCTGGGTTCATTCTATACCAGTTATCTCCTCAATCAATCCTCCTACTCCCAAGAGATCTTCATTTCCTGCATCAGTCATCGTGATACCATCCCCACCTCTTCCTTTGGGATCTGTCTTAATTAATTCTCTTTTGTGAAGCTTATTCAATTTCTCTTCTCTACTGACTTTTCATCCCTCTCTACCTAGAAATACATTCAGAATATCTCTACTTAAACACAAACACAAAAACCATATACCATTGTCCATTAGCCCTATCACTCCCCTGATTTATAAACCTGTAATTAATTCATTTATAAATCCAGAGATTCACGGCCATTGTCCCTTCCCTTTACATTTTATTTAATTTGGTCTTAGATTCTTACATCTGTGATGCACATTATCTGTGACCTTTAGATTCAGACAGTTGCTCAAATTTTGAGATTATTGGTATTAGTTCATAATAAAAACAAGGTCTTGTGTGATTTTGATTCCAAAGTTTTGCTTCTTGAAGTGATCACTCCCACAGCACCCACATATACAAACTGATTTCCAACTCAGTTCTGTTTATTCAGTATTATGTAATCAATAATTTGTTTTACATAATAATTTTAGGAGAAACTTTAATATTACTGCTATAATTAATGTGTTTCATAAAAGTAGGTTCATAGCAATTCCATGAAACCAAAAAAACCAAATGGCACTTCTCAGCATGACCACATTTCAATCACTTCTCTGATGCATTTCTTTTTTAAAAAATCTTTTGTTTATTTTTATTTTGTGTATAAGTATTTACCTGCATGTATGTAAATGCGGCCATGGCATTCAGTGCCCACAGAGGCTAAAAGAGGGTGCCAGATCCTCTGGAACTAGACTTATGGGCAGGTGTTACCCACCATATGGGTGCTGGGAATCAAACTCAGGGTTCCCTAGAAGCCCAGTCAGTGTTCTTAATTAGTGAAACACCTCTCTAGCCCCTCCAATGTATTTCCTGAAAAAATATCCTGGTCTATTATTTTGGTAATGAATGCTGTAAAGTATGACTCTTCACTCAAAGACTTGATTACAAATTATCATTAATAGCATATATACTTAGAAAAATATTTCAAATTTTGATTTGCCCGAGGTGTGTATATTTTTCATCCAAATAACTTTATCAAAATCATAACAGCTGTCCCATTTCTCTGAAGAAAGACTGAGAACTGCCTTAATTCAAGGGCACAGAGATAAAAATTTAGAGAGCAGCTTGACATTATATCAATTTAACAAAACAATACTATATTCATCCCTGGGGACTGTGAGCACTCCAACTACAGATCCTTGGCCAGATTTACAGTACCAGACATGTATTTCCTCCTGTGGAGTGGCCTTAAGACCAATCAGAAAGTATTCAGTAACCCCTATAACATTTGTGTCCCTATTACATCTATGGACATACCTTGCCAAGAAGATCATATTGTATTTTGTAGAGTTCACACAATGACTTTTTATCCCTAGTAGCCTATATAGTACCTTCTGGCACATGAAAGCTTGCCAGCAGGGACAAAGTTTCCTGATCAGTACCAACTTGATTTCTCCATTTTCTCTGGTCAAAGTAGGTGGTGTTTTCAGCCATAAGGTCTTACTATTGAGTTCTAGTGGGCAACCAAGAACAATTGAAACAGCTTGTATTGTTTCGGGAGTCTCCAGGACACCCCTGACCAACAACTCAGGGGAAGTATCCCATGCTTGTCAATGGGCTTTTCATTTGTGATCTACGGTTTCTGGGAGGAACATTATCTCCTGTGTGAGATGACTCTAATTAAATTCATTTATATGAATATTAATGAATTTATATGAATATTTATATACATACATATATATGTATATATAGGAGCCTTATAGCTTAGGTTTCCATATAGCTTTTTCAAACATTCTTAGCTATTCCTTTACCATACCTCTTCTGTCTTACTCACCCATATTTTTCCCCACTTAAGCTTCCCAAATCTCACTTTTTTGAGAGGTGGCAGAAAGATTGTAAGAGACATAGGTCAGGAGGACCTGAGTGAAACTGTTATAAATGTGACAAGGACACAGCACTCATGAATTCACAGCCACTGCTGTTGCCTGCACAAGACCTGCACAAGATCTAGCAAGTCAACATTCTAGCATGAATGGGGGAGGGGCTCGTGTGTCCCTATTTCTGACTGAGGAGCTATTGACAGTCACCTTTCTGTAAGGTTGTGCTCCCTCATAGGTCTGCTTTGCTCCAATAGATGGTCCCCCACATACATGAGTATATAGGCAGTACAAATTGGACTTGGTGGGTTATTAAAAAGAGAAGGAAGTTGTGGGTTAGAGGGATGAGTGGAGGTAAAATAGCACCAAAATACATTGTATGAAATTCTTAAAGAATTAATATTTTATGTTTAAAATCATAAGAGCTTTTAGGTCATTTGAAAAATTGTTTACTGTCTTTGAAAATACATCAGAGAACAAGTTTACCACTTTATGTGGTATGACAAATGACTTTTTAAAAAAAGAAAGAAAAACACAATTGAAGGCTTCTAAGACCTGGACCCCAACAGTTAAATGTGCTCACATCACAAGTAGCAGCCCACAACAAACTCTTGTCCAACAACCCTAGCTCCTTTGGTTAACACAAAACATCAGCTCAATAACTCATTGCCCTAAAAATGTAGAGATTGCAGTAAAATTAGAGTAACGTTGTTTTCTTAGTTTGCCTTTGACTGCTATGATAAAACCACTGACCAAATCCAACTTGGGGAGAAAAGGGTTTATTTTATCTTAGATCTCCCAGGTTACAGTTCATCACTGAGAAAAGCCAAGGCAGGAACCTGGAGCACAGACTATGGAGGACCATTGCTTACTGGCTTGCTTTTCCTATCCTGTACTCTGTTTGCTTTCTTATCCAACACAGGACTACCTGACCAGGTATGGCACCTCCCACAGAGGGCTGGGCCCTCCCACATCACTCAAGAATCAAGAAAATGCCCCACAAACATAACAATAGTCCAATCTAATGGGGGAAATTCCTCAATTGAGGTTCCGTCTACCCAAGTGCGTCAAGTTGAGAGCTGAAGCTATCCAGCACAGTTATCAATTTCCTGTACTTGAAGGGGCTTCCTTTTAAAAGATCATTTCTTTTCTTGTTTTAATTTTTAAAAGCATATAGCACTCCTTTGTGAGGTGTGTGAGACTTGATGCTGTTTCAACTGACAGTGTTAGCAAATTTGTGTAAGTTAAGATGATCTCACTCCCCAATCTTTTAAATTTCTGATTATATTGATCTATAAGATTATTAAGCTAGTAACTACACCTGTAGTACTCATTGTTGAGGCTATCTAGACAAATGGAAAGTGGAATCTGTTGCCTATATTTACATGCTGGCTTCACCACTTACCAGATATAAACCATGGCTAAGTTTTGTAATATCGCTAAGCCTCAGTCCCTTCCCAATAGAAATTATTGTAGTAACTACATTGCAGAGTACCTACCTAGACTGCAGAGTTCCTACCTCTGAATAAGGATATCTATTTCAAACTTCTGCCTCCCAAGGCTTAGGGATCATTGTGGAAGGAGGGACAAAGGGTGTAAGAGCCAGAGGTGGTAGATAAACACAAGGAAACAAGTTTTACAGATAGCTGGTCAGTTACTCATATGAACTCACAGCAATGGTGACAGCATGTACGAGTCCTATGCAAAATAAAATCAGATAAAAATCCCCACATAGACATAAGGAAGTAGGTAAAAAACCTCAACCAACCTAAGAAAATTTTGGCAACTAATGGCTGCTCAGAGGAGGAGAGAGAGTCTCTCTCTTTCAAGTATGGGACTCTTAGTAGGTTAGCCAGGTACCAGTGAATGGACCCCCACTGAAGGATATTTTGAGACCCAAATTAGGTGCTATAGAGCAGAAGGAAAAAAATGGGTGGTCTAAATAGGGGAGAGAAACTAAATACCATCAAATTGTATAAAATTGCAAAAACTCAATTTAAAAAATTTTTTAAAGTAACACCTTCACTTAGGAAATTAGTGACTGGGGATATTGAAGACTTAGTAAGTATTTACAAGTGTGAGGTATATACCATAATTAGACAGGAATTGACACAGGGGTAACCTAGCGAAACTAAACTTGCCAGAGATGACTCTCATGCATTTAACTTGAGGAAAGTACTACCACTAGTAGAGGACAGTCAAAAACACATGCAAGCTTATTACTGCTAGGTATGGGAGAGCTGCTCTTAAAAGGAGGAGCTCTGATAGGCTGACTAGATGCCAGTGGATGAACATGCACTGAGGAACATCTAGGGAAACTAACTTGACA